TCAATTTCAACATCTTTTCCAGACAATAGCCACAGCATTTCACAGCTTTGAGTTAATCATTAGGTTTTTACTCAATTAAAGCCTATTTCATTCACTTCTAAAATACGTTAATTTAAACTTGAGGAAGTGTAAATTCAAACAGCTGTTACTAGCAGTTGAACTGTATTAAGAGCGAGACACAACATATCTTTCGAGAATTCAAGACTTAAATCATTCTGTTTAATGATTTGTTTTATTTCAATTTAAATAAAAAAATAAAATGGTATATTCCTAGACTTAGCTAGACTTCATTCTGCATTATTCAATTTTAGTGAGGGCAAACAAAATTTATTAATCGATTATGAAATCAACTGATTATTAATATCAATTATTAATATCAATCAATCGATGTAAAATAATCGTTAATAAAAAAATTTTTTTTATGATTGCAAAAAGTATATGTAATTATTTAATTATTAAGTCTAGAATTTAGAAAAAATAACTTCGAAAGATGTTGTTTAAAAGGATCGATTCCAATCTATAAGTAAATCGCCATTGGAAGGATAATAATCGATTATTGTCTATCATATCAACTTAGACTACTAGTCTAATCACATTGAAGTAAGATCATTAATGATTCATTTATTTATTGTAGATAATTTGATCATGCATTAAAAGTTTTGAGGCACTCAAATGTCTGCGGTCAGAAATATATTCCTTAGCAGTTTCAAATTACATTCCTTTTAATTTATTTAATTTGATGATGTCTGACGTCGCGTCCAGCTCCTCAGCGCCCCAGATACTCGCATTTAAATGTAAATTATTTGAGTGCCTTGTGCGAATTCCTTAGAACACGCGCCAAAATATCTTTTTGCACCCGAATCATATCAGACCCGAAGCATCACTCGACTAGCAGATGTTTCTCTGGCTGTGGCTGCCTCTGTCTGCAGACGAGCTCGAGTCTGGGCCTGAGTCTGAGGTCCCTTCGAGCTGCTGGCCACACAATAAAAATGCAAAAGGCCAACTCGAGAGCCATCGATCAATTGCCAACATGGACATTAGACGTTAGCTTCTGGCTGGCGAAGGGACAGCGCGGATCCTCGCCACTTGATTTATGGCTCTGCAGTTCCATTGAAAGTTGGCTCAGCTTTCGATAACAGAGATCCCGCTCACACACACACGCACACAGAGACAGATATTTGATCGAGCCGACAATAAATAACAAAATAATACAAAAAGCTGCCTTAGCTCAATTTGTAGTTTTCAATGCTCGAAGGCGAAAAACAGCGGCTAATGAGCATCGCCCAGAGATGAGGCCCATCTCGGTTGCCCCTGGCTGACGGGCTGCCTGGCTGCCTGGCTGACTGGCTGGGCACCTGCGCCCACCCTTGGCTGCGCTGCTGCAACTGCTTCTGTTTCTACTCATGTCTGCAGTTGGTTACACAATAGCCTCGGCAGAGCTGGGGCGGGAGCTGGAGCTGGGGCTGGAGCTGGGGCGGAGGACGATGCCCGCATTGAGCGTGCCTCGGCTGGAGCTGCAATACGTTTGCCGGCTGCCTGATTTTTCAAGATTTTTAAGCACTGCAGCTGCGGCGGCAGTGCGGGCGCCACAGGCAGGCGCAGCGCATGCCAAAGAGTTGAGGTCGAGGTCATGTGTGGGTGGAGCACACACAGCTGTGTGGGTGCTGCTGGGTGGCGGGTGGCGGGTGGCGGGTGGCAGGAGCCGCTTCAGTTGGAGCTTTTGTGTCGGTTGCCAACCGCAGAAATGCACTCTGAGTCGGCTGTTTGTTGTAGTTGTTGTTGCTGTTGCCATGCGAGAAGCAATGCCAACTAATTGAATGTGCAAAACTCTCTCACACACACACACACACATGCATACACACACACAGTCACAAATGCAACAGCATTAATATCGCGTTATATGGCGCATTAAGGCGCTCATTTCAACGTGTTTTTAGTTTTTTTTGTTTTTGCCTCTCGCTTAGCTCTCGCCCCCAGAGTCGGAAATCTAAAGCAAAGACCACGAGTGGGCGGCAGTGGGTGTGGCACTCATGCTCATGATGATTGCTCCGTAGCGCCCTGCATTTGTATTGGTAATTACAATGTCCCACTGTGTATGTGTATGTGTGTGTGTGTGAGTGAGTGAGTGACGTCTGTTTGCTGTCCCTTTGCCTTTGCCATGGGGTGGATTTCGCTCGCATTTTTTCTACATTTTTTTTTTGTTAGCATTTTTTTCTGTTTGACTGTAGCTCTCTCTCTCTCTCGCTCGCACTCACGCCGGCAGAGCGGGGGCAGCAACAGCAGCAGAGCGACTCTTCCTTGTCCAACGGCTTTTTCTCTGTTTGCCTGCCTCGGAAACCGCCATTTTTTATGCGCGCTAACTACGCCAACCTCTCTGCCAGCCCTCTTGCATCGCTACCCGCCTCTCTCTCATTCTCTCTCTCCCTCGCTCTCCGTCCCTCTCATACCTTCGCAGCGACCAGCCCGCACTCTGACGCACTCGCACCCTCGCACAGAATTTGCGCATTAGAAAAAAATGTGGGCTGTGTTTTTGCCGTCTGTAAAAAAAAAAATGGGAGAAAAAAAAAAACGAAAGAGAAGTTACAGCAGATAAATAAAAAATGGCGGTTTCTGTTGATACAAAAAATAGATAACAGTATTTTGTACATTTATTCGCTGGCCAACAATAAACTACGGCAAAAAAAGAAGCAAACAGTAAATAAATTTATTAGCTCAACGTCAGATTTGTACGGGTCAAATATCATATCGACGCAAAAATTGTGAAAGTATAATTTTTAAATCTATCATCCGTCAATCCATTTATTTATTTAAAACAATTCGTAAAACTCGTCATCTATTTAATCTCTGTACTTAAATATTTAGCTGTGCCCAAAGCGTCATCTACAGTGCAACTGTGGAGCTTGCGCAGTAAAGTGCCACCTAGTGCTTAAGGACTGAGGATGCTGCAAATGTTTTAGCGCCACCTATGAGTCAGTGAATGTGAACGGCAAGCAGTTCGATACGCACTAAACACATATCGATACATGCACCGATAGAAATTTCAATTGCCTAGCATTTTTCTAGGTATCTCAACTGGGCACACTGGCTCAGCGCTCTTTGCTGTTCTGGCAACAAAATAACAAGTGTTGAATTTAGTTTGGAGTCGCATTCAAGAGGCAATTTGTAAGTATCCACATAAACAGCGCAGAGCAATTGATCATAAACAAAGATAACAGCAGCGAATTGAGGCGCTCTGCGTGGAAACACAGCTTCCAACCACCTGCAACAACAACGCAAGGCAGTATGAACATGAACAACATCAACAAAGGCGGATACGTGCCACCAGGCTACTATCCACCAAACGCTCCGCCCGCCGAGGGAGCTCCGTATGCGCCGCCCGCCAGTGCACCATACGCCCCGCCGAATGCACCCTACCCCCCCGGCCCACCACATCCCCAGCCACAGCCACAGCCCGTTAACTATGTGAGTTTTGGGGGCGTTGTCAACTTTGGTATACATAATTGAGTTATACTATATATGTATGAACGCACAGACACATATCCATTCAATGACGTCAGTTTTAAGTTTGCGTGTCTATTTTTGTTCTGATTCATAAGCGATACGCCAGGCGATTTGCATTGCACAGAAATAATGTCTCCAGTGCACTATAGGCGAGTTTCACTGTGTAAATAATCAGAGATAATCATGAAAATGAAATGGAATATTTCATATTTTACTGGAATCGCAATGCTTAGCAAGTTTTTAGTTGTTCCACTAATTAGTTAGTCATGATATAAATTTAAGTGCGATTGCATTTAAATCAAGCTCGGATTTTCGCTTCTATGAGGCGCTTTTATTATGTGAATACAATTGTAAAAATTATTTGTCTTTTAGTGACATTTCTCTATTTTAACTCCATTAAATTTTGCTAGTATCAAGTCAAGTCCAAGTCCATCATAATCAGAGCTCGCTCTTTGCTTGTGATCCGCCTTCGCTATACTCCCCTTGCTAAGCCATTTCACATATTATCGATCCATCATATGCATCATTATCAACAATAGAACAGTTTATTTATCCAACTTATCTTTGTTGTCTTACTTCGTCAGCCCGATTCGAGCAGCTCAGCGACTCGAAATACGACATCGTGCAGCTCTTATTACATCATTCATGACACTTGCCACATATCATACAGTATTATCTTCGGGATAGTAAATATTGGTATAACAAACGCCATGCAGTATAGGGAAATTCTTATAAACATTGATATACTATATCAGATAGCTGCTTAACGATATAAAATACTTTATCAGAAGACTCCATGCTAGAATATAAGTAGAGATAAGTTAGGTGTAGCTTTCAATATACATGTTGAAAAATCGATGCAAGGCTTTGCTTTATATAAATAATAAATGTATTGTAAAATCGATAACCGTCTTCGATTATCTAATATATCTATTAAGAGCTTTATTACATGTAAGCAATACTAAGATAACTCTAGCTAAATGTACAGGTTTATATAAAAGATTTTATTTTTCCCTGACCATATATTCTGTATTTTATAAACATTCATTCAATTACAGGGATTCACACCGGGTCTACCTCAAGGAGGGTATGCTCCAGTTCCTCAAATGCCTGCTGGCGAGCCCAATTATGGAGGTCCAGCTCCCTTTGGAGCTGGTGGTGGGGCTCCGCCTTACGGCTATCCGCCTGGCCCCGCTGGTCCACCGCAGCCATTTGGATATCCACCTGGGCCAACAGGTCCGCAGCAGCCAATCGTAAGCCAGCCAGGCATGCCACCAGCTCAGCCCCATCCAGGCATGGGACCGGGAGGACCAGCAGGTAAGTTGCACCAGTTGCTAGTAAACATAAGGGATCGCACTTTACTTCAATCTACAGACGCATGTACATGTGGTGTATTTATAGGTGTGGGGCACAGCTCGAACAGCTCTGAACGAGTGCGATAGCACAATAGGAATGGACTGAAGTCAATTAAGACAAGGGAACGCATTCAGACATAGCCCAGTTTTACATTCGAATTAGGGTCGCTGCACTCTGAATGTGATAATAGCGAGTGCACAGCTTCGCGACCGTCGCCACGCATCGCACGGTGGTTCAAGGTGGTTACGAGAGCGTGGCGGCAGACTACAAAGTTCTTTTCTATTAGCACCCGAAATAGAGTGGTAAACATTTACATTCACAGCTTGCTCGGTTCTTCGTACTGTCCCAGATGAGCTCTTGTCCAGATAAGCAAAGATAATGCAGAACCGTTTCTGTCAGCTCAAAGATTTTGTTGTTGACAAACAAAGTGCGCTTACTCTCCGACTTGATAAAGACCCCGGCGCTTCCTCGTAGCTATATGCAACCCAAAGCCAACCCGCTGGCTCTTATCACGAAGCGCCGTTCGCCGTTCGCTTTAATTGAACCAATAAAATAATACAATGCGCTATTTAAGACACGTTCGGCTATGTGGACTACGATGAATTTTGAAAGCCGACGGGCCGTCAACTGTCAACTTGGGGGCCCTCTCTCAGGCAGACGTTCAGTTCAGCTCGGTGCAGCATCGAGAACAGTCGCAGCAGCCTGAATATTGATTAGTTAGTACGATGCCAGTGCCGAATACCGTAGCAGCCGCCACCGTTCCAGCATCCAGCTCCAATTACCTGTCCACACTGGATCTGACCAAAAACGAGTCTGGCGACCAGAAGGACGCCACGAGTGGCGGGGCCAGCAGTGGCTCGAAAGTGTTACGGTTCATTTGGCACTCCCTGTACAGCCAGTACAACTTCTTCTGCACAAGGTCCAAGACGCTTAAGCAGCTGGTCTGCCGTGAGGCCAATAAGCCCTTGCCCAAAAAGTTTCGGCACACAATGCGGCTGAACAAGTCGGCGAAGCGAAAGGGCTACGAGTTCTATATTAGCGACGAGGACAGGAGGTGAGCCGAATCAAAGCGTATAACTTGAGCTTTCCTTTATTCTAACTTCAAGTGTGAGAGGCCTGTCAAGGCTAAATCAGTTCAGTGCGATATTTCTTATCGCGCAGATTGTAAATCTGTCGAGGCAGCTGTGCCATAGAGAAGAATTATAATAGACTCGTCGTGATGAAATATCATCTGCGTAAATATTACCTCAAACGCCACAATGAGATTAGATATAAAAAGTCATTGTAGTGGCATAAAAAGCACAATAAACCGCCCAGGGTCGTGGTCTCTCCATTGTAATGCCTTCAATTAGGCTTGTTCTTGATGACGTTGGGCAATTGAAGCGATGACAGCGACATTGACCAATTGACACGCTTTTGTGGGTGGTCGGGGGCTGGGGCGTGCTTCCCACACATGTTGATGTGATTTTGAGAGAGCGCTCAACTGAAGACTAGGCTGATTGATGTGCCTTTTTTTTCTCATCTTTTCATTTTACGTTCTTTCACTCCGCAACAGGCGACTGGATGAGTATACCCTCAGGCATTCCGAATTGTCCGCGCGGATTGGAGTACCTTACGAGTATAGACCAGCTTTTAGTTAAACAGAAGGTGGAGCTGCTTGAGGCTTTCATTGGCTTCGAGACCAATAACAAGTTCTCAATCAAAAACGCACTCGGCCAGAAGGTCTACTACGCGGTGGAGGACAATGACTGCTGCACACGCAACATGTGTGGTCCTGCACGGCCCTTCGATATGAAAATTTTCGACAATTTCCAGCAAGAGGTCATTCACCTGAATCGTCCATTGGCCTGCTCAGCTTGCTGCTTTCCCTGCTGCCTACAGACAATGGAGGTCTCCGCACCGCCTGGTAATGTTATTGGATCTATAGAGCAGGAGTGGTCCATTTGCTCTCCGTCGTTCCGCATTTTAAATCACCTTGGCGATACGGTGCTTCGCATTGAGGGTCCATTCTGCACGTTCTCGCTCTGCGGCGACGTCGAGTTCAATGCAAGTGCTTGAAACCTGATAGCTAAAAGACTTGTTAATAATTATATTTTCAATACAGATTGTCTCGCTAACTGGAGCGAAGGTGGGAAAAATATCAAAGCAGTGGTCAGGTCTGGCACGCGAAGTCTTTACGGACGCCGACTTCTTTGGCATCACTTTCCCACTGGATTTGGATGTACGCATGAAAGCCGTGCTGCTAGGCGCCACGTTCCTCATTGTAAGCACGAGCTTTTGTTATTTAATCCCACAATCAGATATTAAATCACCCAGAATTCATTGCTTTTCGCCTTAATTCAAAAGTTGATATATTGCGGGAATTGTCGGTAGCAGAAGCCCCAACGCAGAGTCAACTCTTTTACTGATTTGTATTGAATGATTTCTGACCTCACTTATTTATTTTCTTTCAGGATGCCATGTTCTTTGAGAAGTCTGGCAACCGCGAGGGAGATACTCCAGGAATGTTCTAGCTGTTTGTAAATTTTTGTACGATAGACGTGACCCCAATGTAGTGTGAAATTGACTATCGAAGCCCTGTGAACTATCGCATACTAGTCCGCTATGGCCAAAGCAAACGCATTTTTCAGTCGCCCAAATCATATTGAATTGATTTCAACAAGTTTCGCTACAAGCGATTTAAAAGTTCTTAAATTTTTTCGTTATACTCAGGATACATTTTGAATGTAATTATCTCTGTTCTGTCTTTATTAGATCACACTGTTATTGGGTTGTGTATTATGATATTTATATATAATAATTATTATTTTTATATAAACAAAAAAATATACATATATATGTATATGTATATAATAAATCGAAAAAAGAGAATAAATATATGGAGAGAAAAGCTGAAGAGAATAAGTAAATAATTTTGTGTATTTCACGAAGAATCGCCGTCTTAATATTCATTTAATAATGAATAATAAATAATAAATATATTTATATGAAAGGAAAATCACAAAATCAAATACAAATCTAGACAGGGTGTAAAATGTACTTTAACTATTTATGTGTCTTCATATATTTAATATAAATACAAATTATATATGTATATATTAAGTGCATAAAATGTATATTTATATCAATATTGCAGAGTATTTAAAGTGAACACCTTGAATATATTAATCTGCTCTGATAAGGTACCTATCTTTGATTGTTATATGAAGTTAGCAAATATATATATATATTGTGTTTACGTGCACATCGAAGTCGATACCTGCACATTTAATATTTATTTAAATGAATTTAAAATCAGCTTTAAAATAAAAGATTCGAATAGTACGATTTGCTTAAATAAACCAACTTACGTATATTTTATTTATAAACACGCCAAACTAAATAAAGGTGGAGCTATCTCTGTTAGCTGGTTTGGGGCTTCATTAATTTTAGCCAAGTGGAAATAAACTGATTTCTGTGAGCTTCATTCAGCTCCTGCCTAACATTTGGCATAAATATTAGATGACGTACAGAAGAATTTTGAGAATAATTACAGAAGCCGTAGGAGAGAAACTTGAAGGCGAAGTTTACATATTTTAAATAGAAGGAATATTGATTAATTAATACATTTGAAAACAAAGCGGGCAATAGAAAGAATAAATATTTATTCATTAAAGATTAAAATTAAAAATTAAACGAAGAATAAGACTAACTGAGGAATCAAGTCTGGCAATTCTTCGGCTTAAGAACGAATATATTTCCTATATCTTGTTCTACACAAATACATTTTGGAACGATACAATAATGAAAATCGATTTACTTGACAATCAGATTCGTCTCCAGTAGTCCGCCTAAACTCTAAATTAATTAGAGAGCGACTTATGTAGTTGTAGTTGAGATGATGTCGCCATTGATTACAGCCTTAGTCCTACTCGTGTTCTGTGAGCTGCAGACAAAAGGAGTACAGGAATGCGAATATATTGTACATCAAAACTATCTCTGAAAACTTTGAGCAGTTGAAGAGGATTGGCGAAGCGTGAATGTTGTCAACGAGCACAATAGCATTGAAGGTGATAAAGTCTCCTTCCCAAGCTAGCTAAGCTGCGTGAATTGTATCTGTCACAGTCTGGTGGCTTGACGTTGGCTAGGAATGGGTCCAACTTAATTTATCCCACTGTCAGCCTGAGGAGCTGCGGGGCACTTTGGGAATAACGCGACCTAGTCAGCTTGGATGTCAGCCACAACGACCTGTTGCCCATCTGATGAGGCGGTTGCCCAATCTCGTCTACGCCAACTTCTCAAGCTATTCAATAGCCCGTGTACAATAGTTTGATGCCTTCAAGAATTTCAAGCACTTCACACTCTTGGATCTACACACCACTGAACAGGAGCAGATTACAATTTGCTCGAATGCCAACCTGTGGTACTTTGCCATTAGCAACAGCCATGCCGGAGCTGTAAGCTAAGATGTCTTTAAATTGAGACACTTTCAAGACCCGCTCTTCAATGTAGTTTCCGTGGTATCACTTTCGCTTGCACTTCAACCGACTTAATGTTATGGAAAGGGGAATTTTCTATGCGCTGCACCAGCTGCGAGTGCTCAATGTATCCACTAATATTAATTGGCTGAAATTGCTTGACTACAGCTCGAATAATGTGAGGGTTCTGGAGGATTACGTATTCAATAGGCTGGAGAGACTCACCCTTTGACTAAAGAAAAGCCATTGTCGTTAAAGTAGTTTGTTGCGGGCCAATCGAATGAAGGCGGGCGGACGGCTCCTCTCCCAGGATAATGGAAAAGTTACGAGGCCTCTCTGCTGCTGGGACACTGAGTCAGGCAGTCAGGCAGTCGGGCAGGCGAAATCTTAACACAAATTGAATTCCTATTTGCCAAGAAACAACATGTGGCAGCATGTGTGAAACTGATTTTAAAGACTGCATCAATCTCTGGAACGAAAGGCTAAGGCTTACGGTTTCTCGATCTGCGCAATATTGACATACGGCAACTGGCAACTGCCCTTTCTGCAGGAGCTACGATTGAGCCGCAACAAGTTGAGTGCATGTCAGCTCCTCTGCGTTAGCTGCGGGGGTTGCTAAACAACTTTGAGGAGCTGCATGACCTGGAAATTAATAACAATCGCTCGACCTTTCTGCCTGCTGCTGCTGCTGCTGCTGTATCAGGCTCGAGGGTAATCCTGGACAAACTATGCAACGACTAGCAGCACCTATTACAGCAGCCGTAAGCCTCTCTGCATGCAGGAGGCATGGAAGAGTGCGTGAGGGAGCTGCCGAGAGCTACGAGCACATCTGAGGTGGCAATGGAGCAATAAATCAATAGCACTAAATGCTAGTGGAGTTGCCTAATGGGTGGGCCAGATGAGCAGGACCGTGGCAGTGGGCAGTGGCTGGCTGGCTTTCGTAAATCACGGACAAATGAATGACCATCAGGCGCAAAAGTTTTGCAAGCCAAAGTATTTGGCCAACTGTCGTAAAACAATAAAACAAAAAACAAAAAGCAGCCGCAGAGCAAAGCACAAATATAGAACAGCAGAGCAGCATTCCATGGGCAGTGGCGCTGGCAGGGGGCAGGGGGCAGTGGGCAGGGGGCAGTGGGCAGGGGTGTATGGAGGAGCACAGATTTTCAAATACTTAACACCACTTAAGCGAACAGTTGGACGATGACAGCGACAAGTGGATTGAGGGCGGCTGGGCGGCTGGGCGACGGGGCGTGGGCACACATTGATTGTTGAGCGTAATTTAACGTAAGAATTTTTATTAAAATTTTCCGATTGCGTATGAACTTTGGCGCTCGCAATGAGCAGCTGGCTGTCCGTGACTTAATGAATAAATGATTGATAATGAATAAATGCGAGTGTGTGCGAGTGCTGGTGCTTGAGTGCAAGGGGGTATAGCTTCCGGTGTGAAAATTGAGCAGTGGGAATTTTCAGTGTATTTTGCAGATTGCATAATTGAAGGAGCGAGTGGAACGGCCATCCTCGTGAATAATGAATAAATAAGTCAGCCAAGTTGCGCACAAATGTTGCATATTAAATGTGCGGAAATCTGAAGACGGCTGAGTGTTGAGTGCTCACTGAGTGCTGACTAAGCGTCTATTTGTCCTGGAACGTTGTCAATTGTCAATGCGGACGATTCATTTTGAGTAAGTTTTTCCATTTCCTCAGCCCAGTTTTCGAATGGCCAATTATTCTGAATGTTGTCCTAAGAAGATGTTTGCCTCTGTGTACATAAATAACAGGTCACACACACGCGCACACACACGCACATTTACATTGACAGCTTTATGTTGTGCGTCGGCAAATAAGTAGTTCAAGTTTTGCGTATTCACGCAACTGCATTGAAATCGCGCACAGATATTCGAGGCATTCACACGCACAGGTGACAAAAGGCAGCAGCGCCGACAGCGAGCACAGAGAAAGATGTCAGCGCAGTTGGTGCCAGGGCAAGGATTCCGAGTCGAGCAAAGCGCACAGCGAGCCGCAGGAGCAGTGGGAGCACAAAGGAATATGGAGCCATGCAGCTGGCGCCGTTGCCCAACAGCGACAATAAAAGTTTTGCTTGCAGACCGAGAGGGAAATTACTTGCGCCGGCTATGTGAACTAATTAAATTACTTTTATTTCGCAGGTTAACATTTTCAAACGCGCATGTCGATGTTGGGTCGGTCAAACCATTTCCGCTTGGCCTACAACTTTTTAAAAGTTGCGTCAATTTTCTTAAGAATCTTGCGAACGACAGCGAGGCGACGATGCCTAGGAACCGGACTCTGTCCCTTCAATTAATTTCCACGCAAGCCTAGTTTCAAATTTTGTTTGAATAATTTGATAGCGCACAGCGGCAGGCGGTGTGGGTGGCAGGGTGATTGGGTGGCTGCGTGGGTGTGCAACAAGTGTGTTTTTAAGGGCGTGGCAAATATTGTACCCTCATCAAAGCAATTTGACGTTGCGTGCTGGCAAAGACAACACGGCCTTCGATTGGCTGACTAACGTTCTGTCATTGTCCAAACACCGAGACTTTCAATTTAAAACTCGGCTCACCTGGCGTATGCGTGACATTATGAATTGCCACTTTTTTGGCTGTCTGCATTTGACGTGCTCGACATTTGGTGTGCAGCAATTGTTCCCGAGCCGACTTTAAGAGGCTCTCGCCTGGCTACTCTCATATTTCAGTCAATTTCGCTCTGGGCTAATTGCATTTTTGTGGCCTAAATAGCCACACATAATTAGCAAACAAAATATTTGTAAAACATTTTATCATTTTTACACAATTAGTACAGCAATTGTATATATTTTAATGCTGCCCATTCGCCATGAAATGCCAACAAAAAATCAAAAATTAGCGCAAACTGTGAAATGGCAGTGGCGTCGGCCGGATGTGGTGCGGACTGCACTTCGAATTACAAAATTTTGCGGCTCTGTGGTTCGCTGAATTTATAATTATGCACAGTTGCTGTTTTCTGTGTGTTGCATAATTCGATTTACACGCAAACTTTTCGGCTTAATTTCACGCCGAGTTAAGAGCTGTGCCTGACTGCAAATTCGCTGGCAACTTTTCTGCTAGTTCTATTAGTCATTTTATTGTGTTGCTGCATCTGCTGCATAGAACTTTTCTTGCCATTAAACATAAATGGGAACATATTCAAATTTTATATGGTAGTTGCCCATCACGAGACTCGAGACCCCCTCTTCGACTTTATTTGCTAAAATAATACTTCTTTTTAATATGTAGGATAAAGGTTAAAGTACCCTAAGCTCATTGCAAGTGAGAATCAGAGTTCTGTGAAAATGTATGTTACAAAAGTAAATGCACAATACCTATTAAGTAATCATCTATTTATGTATATATATAAATGAAGCACTGGCAAGTGGGGTCTTCGAAAAAGTATATACATATATTTGAGCTATGTACGTATGTAAGTCCATTTAAATGAACGCAACGATCTTGTAATCCATAGAAGCTAGAGATCTGAACTTTGAAATGTATAATCCTTTCTGCCAAACCCAAGACAAGTTAATAATTTAAATTGATTACTATCGATAAATATCGATGGCTCTTTACAATTTATAAGCATTACTTGCTTACATACAAAGGAAAAAATTGCAGATTTATTATGGGCCTCCTGTAATAAGTACACAGAATTAGTATATTTTGGATTCCCAATTCCTTCTCCATTTCGTATGAAATTTGCACAACTTATATGTGAGGTGCTAGAACTTTGGTCAATACACTAATCACACTCTGACAATTGATAAATTATGTCTTCCTATAAGGATTAAGTTGTTAAATCGTAGCTCAAGAAATAATAGGTCAAGATGTAGTCACCAAACAATTTCCCATTATATAGCCCAAACTGCAATCCACGTTG